CCACTCTTTTACTAGTAGATACAGCTTGACTGGCATGTTGTTCATCTATTACACAGGAGTATAACTTGTCAGATTTTTCAATGGCAATTATCCCCTAGTAGCAAGAATGATGTCTTTCGGTACCATGAATACATCAATAGGGAAGAAATCCTCAAGTTCAGGTCTAGCCCAATTTCTGTCTACAGTAGTAAAGGCTCACCATTTCTTTCTGGCATGCAACCAATAGCAGTGACAAAAAAAACTTTTATGATTTGTGAAATCTCAAGGGCCTCTCAGCTAAAAACTCCTAAAGGAGCTTTCCCACCCTTGGCCATAGGAATTTCATTCAACAGCCTTACACTTTCTAGGTGTGCCTTTTCCAACTTATACAATCACATAGAATCTTTCATTTAAACTCTTACTCCCCACCCCCTGCCTATTTTTGTCATTCAAACTCATAACAGTGGTGTGACATCTTCTCCAGGAAGATGCACTATGCAATGGAACATTTTTAAAACAGAGAACGGGATCTCTGATGGCATCCATCACCTATCGCAAGTAAGTGCCATTAGACTTAGATGGCTGGGGCATTCTAAAAAGGACATATTTGCAAGGCTTGATGTTATATGAAAAGATCTCGTATCAATCATTTCAGCAGAAAAGCAATAATGTGTGGCTGCAGATATGGCTTAGTGGTTAAGAACACTTGCTGATCTTACAGAAGACTCAGGTTCAGTTTTTAGCATCCTCATGATTATTGATAACCATCTTTCACCTGTTCCAGCTGACCCAGCTCCTTCTTTTGGCCTTCATGAGCACCAGACATGCACATGATAAATGTACATTAATGCCTACAAACACTCGTGCACAAGAAATAATAATGTATTAAGAAAAAAAGCAATATCTGTAGATAGAGAGATGACTCAGTACACAAAGGACACGCATGAAGACCCAAGTTCAATTCCCCTAAACCCATGAAAAAAAAAAACAAAAACAAAAAACAAAACAAAAAAAAAATGCTGGGTGTGGAAGCTTGTGCTGAGGAAGAGGTAGATATCTCCATCTACAGTATACCTTCTGGCAGGATAAAGATGTGCACTGAATATTCCAGAAAGTAACTACCTAGCCCTAGAGTAAAGTTTATTGATTTCATTTGTATTCTTAACAATTTGTGTTTTCCACAAATTGTTTGGGCTTGAAGCCTTTTTGGAAACTCAGTAGTGCAACATTTAACTTTCTCTTCCACATCTCCCACCCCACTTACTAAGTCCAGATTGACATAAATTATGTCACATTTTCATTCCAGGGACTTACACAGATCTTTTTTTCACCTTTGTCTTCTTCTCATCTCCTCCCAGCTCATGAACATCCTAACACAGGGCTCAGAAAAGCCACTAAAATCCCACATCAGTCCACAGATCAATTAACTGATGGACCTGAATTAAATTCTTTTTTAGTACTCCTGTGTACACAGTCCTGTCAGATCCAGTTAGCTGGCCATCAACTATTGCCTCATCTATGCTCAACTCTCTCAGGGATACATGTCCTTCTTCTGCTATCTGCTGGTCACTGGTATTACTGGGGCTCTCATTCAGTGATACCCAAGTGTCTTTAATAGCTCATATGAACCAGTTTATATGACTGTAAGAGATGGCAAACCAACACCTAAATTTTATCCTTCATTGTTTCCATTTCTCTCCTAAGTCATACTCTAGTATAGCAGACAATACCTGACTTTTTCCTGTTGCACATGTTGCATGTTGTATGTCCACAAATATAGGTCATAGAGTAGCTACCATAGCATGTATACATTATAATTCATTCCTAATTTCCTTAATTCTAACAGAGACTTTTTGGGCTCCTTCTCTAGCACTCCCAGTGATTCATCTGGCCTTTACTTTCTGTAATACAGTACTTACAATGACTTTTCTAGATTGTGAATCATGACTGCCATATTTTATTGCACCTTCCAATTTTCCTTGATGATAAAGTTTCAAACAGGTTTGCCTGACCTGTAAACAAAATTTATGCAACACAATCTTTTCTAAATATGTTAATATTGGTATATAGTGGCTTGAAAAAGAATAGCACTTGCCTATCGTGAGAAATGCACTAGAATAATTGCCTAGTTAAAGCATTAATTTATCAATTAAATAAGACAAAACAAACAACAAACCCCAGTGTTGTCCTGTAATAGGAAACATCTTTCATGTAGACTTCTGAATAGGAAACCTTGCTTTCCTAGACAGACTATAACCAAATAACTTATGGCTTATTCTTCATGGATCTAGTCTTAAATATTGGATTTAATATTTACTCTAAAAATTGAGTTTCAGGCAGGACTCAGTGGGACATATGTGTAACCCAGCACTTAGGAGGTTAAGAAAGGGGGTCAGGAGTTCAATGTCATCTTTAGCTCCTTAGTAAATTCAAGGCCAGCCTGGGTATGGGAAACGAATCTTGTCTCAAACAAACAACAAAGCACTACACTATCCTTGATGAGTCTGATTAATATTTATTGAATATCAACTTGACAGCATCAACTAGAAGTACTACAATTGCACATGATTAAGACATCACCTGTTCTGCATTCAGGTCCTTAAAGTTTAGCAGCTAAATGAAAAGAGAATTTACATGAGGTCAAACAAACAGAAATAGCCAGATGCTGCAAAAGTTAATCTTAATTGACTACTTGATGAGATTGAGAGGTGCCTGGGAGATCAGTAAAGCACTTTTCAATGTGTCTGTGAGGGCATGTTCAGAGAAGATTAACTAATTTACCTTGCATGTGAACAGGACCAGCAGAGAGGCCAGAGGTTCAGATTAAATAAAATGGAAGAAGGGAGAACATGCCAGAATTGACTGCATATAGATAAAGACTAGAGGAGTATTTGGGACTTACTTCAGAGAGTAAAATCTTGGGAAATAGTGTACAGCAGATTGATGACAAGCTAGTAGTGGGATCTGGATGGTTGTCCTTAACTGGCAGGTTCCATTTGGGATACACTGGGTATCTGTTGATGGGACAGATGCAAAAACATTTCATGTAGGCTTGAAGTTCAAGAGAAAGATCTGGCCTGAAAATGAAAAGTGAAACATTCAAATTGGGCACTCACAGGCATTCTCCCAGGACACTCACTTACAGAGCACTCACTCACAGATATTCTCCACAAGAAACTCACAGGGTAGCTAGGCACTGGATTTCAGCCAAAATGTTGATAGAGCAAGAGCTACATGGAAACTTCACAAAATTTCACAAATTCATTTTATTTTAACATTAAAACCACTACATAACAGATACTGTATTAATGATTTTAACATATGAACTCAATCATAAACATGTTAATTGAATCATTAGGTGGATTCCAATAATTTGCCATCACAGCAGGAGTCACAGTAACACACAGGTTTTGTACAGGGTATGAATTCTTCAATAGCCATTAAAACTTCACAATAACCTTTTAACATCTTAAGCATTTCTGCATGACATATTAAAAGCTTATCTTCAGATGGCAGTGCAGAGTCCAGCAGAAAAAGCATGTTTTATGGTTATGTGATACACTTCACATAGGAGTGTATTTCACTGACTTCTTTGCCTCACACCTATTTTCACTTTTGTTGTTCCTTTCCAGTATTCAAAAAATACAGTTCACTTCCAAACCGAACTTTTATTTCCACCCTGAAAGGAATTTGATAAGAGCCATAGTCTGAATTTTAAATATATATATATATATATATATAACATTAATATTATAACTAAGTATAAGACTATGTTGAATATTTCTATAATGTAAAGAATATACTCACAAATTCTGTCATATTTACAAAATTACACCTACACTGGAACTTCAGCATCCAGGGAAATACAACTATTTTAACATCTCATTTTCTTGTGTGTGTGTGTGTGAACAAAATAGAATCTTAATCATCTTTGGTTGGGTACTATTGAAATAAAAACTAAATTGATATGAACATTAAATGGAAATTTCTAATTTCCACTCTTTATAAATATGCATTTATTTTGTGCCCATATTTATGTTACCCAAAAATAGAGTCATCTTGAAGAAAGAAAACTTCTGTGAAAATTAGTTGAAAACCAAACATTTGTAAAGTGGAATGAACTCAGTTTTTTAGGTTTCCTACTAGATGGGTTTATTTTAATGAAGTTATATTTTTACTTATCATAGATTGGTATGTTGATGATGAGCTCCAAAGAACATAATTCTTCAGTGTCTGTAAACATATTAGAGCTATGAATAGTGTGGGGGAGGTGTGTGTGTGTGTGTGTGTGTGTGTGTGTGTTGCGGGGGAACTGCTTACATCTGGGGAAGGAGGAGAAATTGCTCAAAACTAAACTCAATTGTTACAAAATAATTTTCTAGTTTGATTTAATTTTTAGTGAGAAGTTTTCTCTCATGTGGGGATGGTAACAGGGGTTGTATAGGTCCAAAGGACTTTAACAATTAGCAATAAGCAAAAGGAGTGTGTTGCTTACTTACTATCTGAACAGTAGCTCCATAAAATAGGGATGGCTCAAAACAAGAAATCAAACAATGGTTTGCATTTCCTTTAACTCAAATAACTTCAGGTTGTGATACTGAATTCTAAAAACATTCAACAATTGTACACTTGATTTTAATAACAGTTCATTGCTCACTGAGTGTATAAAGATTTTCCCCATCATTGAGAAAATATTAATTGTATAGCAAAATTGCTCATTCTCTTGAAGTTCTCTTGAAGTCATTCCAGTAGTTACAAGCAATGTTTACCTATAGCATTCTCATTTGTGTTGAATCTTAGGAAGGACAATAAAACCAAAATACCATAAAAGAGAGCCTATGGCTCCCTAGGGGAATCTGTTTGTTCAGCTGCTTTTCACCAAGTGATGAGGGAACAGTGCAGTCCATGGCATCCCCAATAAGATCCTACTGGGCTTTCTGGTTAACACTTACCTCTCTCTACCTTTTAGCTATACCGATACCAATTCCTTGTTCAGATTTCCTTCAGTCTGGGAAAACAGCCAAAAGTATTTCCCTCTTTTACTCATAATTCAACCTACCATCTAAGCATCAGTAATCAAACCATTGTAGCATAGTAATTTGCTCATTTTCACCTCAGCTCTACCAGCCAGTTTTCCAGGAATGAGACTGCCCATGCTTTTTGTCAACACAATGGGAAGTCAGCATGCACTGGTCAGAACACCTTTCATAACCAGATTGGCAGCTCTGGTCACAATCCATGTTCTTTCACCCCTATTTTCTTAGACATTGGTAGCCTCCGAAAAAGAGTCAGTGGGGCCATTGTTCTTTTTGACTTCCAGGTTCTTCTTAGCTTTGAAGGTCATAGACACCTCTGAGTGAATGGCATCCAACCTCTGCTCACACTGGAAAGCGGAGAGGAAAGCCTTTCTGTAGTTGCTGTTCATCCAGCCATAGAGAAGGGGGTTGGCAAAGGTGGAGCACATGGCGATAATGTGGAACACTGTGAAGATGAGTTTATATTCCTTCAAGTCCAGGACATGGCTGTCAATATCCACAGCAAGTTGGAAGGCATGGAGGGGCAGCCAGCTGACTGCAAATACCACTACCACACACACCAACATTTTGGTTGTTTTGTGCCTTCGCTGATGGTAATGATCACTTGCAGCTCCTGGGCTGACATGGTTCTTCAGCTTACTCCAGATACGGGCATAGGAGAAAGATATGATGCCCAGAGGTAAAACATACAAGATTAGTAAGGTGGAGAGGCTGTAGACTGTGCCGTATATACTCTTTTCTTCACCAGGCCACTTCTCAGTACAGGCCACAATCTCGAAGTCAGGGATGATCTCAATCAGTGAGTACTCTCGGAAGATAGCCAGGGGACTTGCCAGCAGGGCACTGATGCCCCAGGCCAGACCAATAATCAAAAAGCTGATTTGCTTGGAGATCTTGCTCTCCAGGTGGTAGACAATACAGCGATGGCGGTCCAGAGCAATGACGGTCAACGTTATTGTGGACACTTGTACTGCCAGACCCTGAGCATAGGGCACCAAATGGCACAGGACTGGACCCATTTTCCACTCTCCCATTAAGGTGTAAGTAAGAGTGAATGGTAGACACAGGGTATTCACCAGAAGGTCAGCCACAGCTAGGTTGGCAATGAAAAAGTTGGTTACTGTGCGCATGCTCTTGAATTTGATTATCACGTGGATTACCAAGGAGTTGCCGACTACCCCCAGCAAGATGATGGAGCAATAGGCCAATATAAGGACCACCTGCACCTCAACCAGCTTGGTGCTGTCTATGAGCTCCGGCTCCGGATCAGGGGGCAGTCCGCCTTTAGGAGTGGTGTCCCCTGGCCCATAGGGCTCCACCTTCGCTTCTACAGTCTGGTTCTCATATGCCTCTGCACCTACTGGACCCATCTTCAGCACCACTTCAGTTCCACTCAGCCTTCCAACAGCACAAGAATCTACAGTAAAAAAATAAATATAGGAAACCACTAGTGAAACAATCATCTGAGAAGGATTGCTTTGGTTTAGACTGCTCCTCTAGACAGCTGTACAATGCAGACCACACAACAACTCGACAAAGCAAGTCCCCTGAATAAGTCTGTTCACACCTATGGATTGATGAAATCAGGTCTGTAAAATTACTGTGACCACAGTAAGAACGCATTTTTCTACAGGAGGGAACCAATCCCACAATGAATGTGAGAGCCAATAGACTCCATTTTAATGCAAAATGAATGTAATAGAATGTATCCATTTTGCAATTGCTATGACATCAACAAATTAACTCAGAGGAAAGTTTTGCCCTCTTTGCTGTTTGAAACGTATAAGTACGTACACACCAATACACAGTATAGAAAAGGGACAAATGACCCCTTCCCTGCTGAGTGCCTGAATTTTTCGAGAATAAAATAAGGCAAAACCGAATGGATTCTCACATAGTCACTTTTTCACTTGTACCCATGTGCCTGGCCCCTTGTGTGTGTTGTGTGTGTGGTGGGGGAGGGGGACAAAGTAAATATATATGTAAATGATGTGTCACTTCTCTATCACTTGGGTGGGAATTCATTCAGGTATAATTTCTCAGGTGTCATCCATGTTGGTTTTTGAGATGGGGCTTCCCATTGGCCTGGAATTCACCAACTGGTCCTTCTCACCAATGAGACCCACAGATCCAACTTTCTACCTCTCCAGCACTAACATTACAAGCAAGCACACCACACTGCTGTTTGGTTTTTTATTGGCTACCTGGTGTTTAAAATGGAGCTCTGTGTAGAACTGTTGCTGTGTTTAAAGGTCTGAAAATAACTCCCCACACAACATAGAACAGTTTCCTACAAAAATTCTCCATTAAAAACATGTCCAAGTCCAACCACCCACATTTATAAATAGAGAAGTTTGGGCACCTATCTTTCCGTGCTACCCTACACCCCAGAATTTCCTCACTTGTATGATTTGCAACACTCAATACATTAATTAAAGGCCTGAAAGTTTAAAAGGGAGATGGCATTCTAGGTTTTCTTGTTTCCCTCATGCTTTAAAGATTCCCCAAGATTGGTCTCCATCCTCTCCCTCCCATATATCTCTTATCATCATTTCTACAGAACTGATTTTGTTTGGTTCAGTTTCTTGCCATATTTATTCTCACAGTCATGCACCTTATTTCTAAATTTCCTTCTGTTGCTTTGCTTCATTAATCCATAAGCTTCACAGGCAAAGTCATGCACAATTAACCATGTTGGTTCTGACATTTACTGGGACGTGTATTCAACAAGCTGTTGCAAACCTGTATCCTGAAGGGAGAATCCTACTGGGTATTAAGACACTAGATTGCTTAAAATATGCATTGCTTTTACTGTAAATTCATTGTAAAGTGTATAAAAACACCCAGATTCATTACCCTAGTGGTAATACTTGTGAATATACACATCATAAAAAAAGGCTTCTGCTATTAATTTAGGAGATCTTTTAATGATTTTTTTACATTAATCTACTACTGTTGGTAGATGAATCTTGTTTATTGAGCTCACAAACAATGCTGGCTGACCCTGTGTACCCCCACTCCACTGCCCATCTTTTCTGCCTCTGTCTTGCTCTGTATCAGTGACCTGCACAGAGCCCTCACTTTCAGGCTCCCAAGCTATCAGGATGCTCATTGGGTTTAAGCAGTGGGAGGCACTTGGAGGTAATTAAAAATCAGGAGGGGTTAGAAGAGCAGGCTCAGTGAATAAAGAGCTTGCCATGCAAGTATGGAGATATGAAGAGAGCCCATTAAAGCTGGATGCTTAATGCACATCTATAATACCAGCGTCTTCGCAAGATGGAAGATGGAGACAGGAGAATTTTCAGAAGCTTATTGGTCAGGTGTTCTGGTGGATGCTTGTGAACAAGACCCTGTCTCAAAAACAATCAAGGTGGAAAGTGAGGACACACACCTGAAGTTGAGCTCTGAACCCCATGTGTGTGCAATGACACACTTGCACACACATAAACAAACTCATGCATACACATGTAACTAAACACATGTATCATATATGCCATACACACATACCCTCCACACAAATACATATATAACCTATATACACACAATACCTGCACTCACACACACTTATACATTTGAACGTGCACACACACACACATAATACATAATTACATACATCATAATACATACCCTACCCACACGCATCATATTTACATAAGTAGGTTTTTGAAAGAAAACTACATGAATAAAAATCAGGAAAAAGGAAGACACCAACACTTGCTTGCTCCTTCCTCCCTCTGTGTTCTGGATAGCACCTCAGCAGCTCTTGCATGGCCCTGATTTCCACCCTGTAGACCCAGTGTGGTTGTTTCCTTCAGGTAGCCTCTTTCTAAGGTCTCAGTCACACTGCCACTTATCTATGTCCCCTCGGTTTGAGATAGATCTAACTTTCAGTTTTCATCTTCCCACACTTATATAACCAGTTCTCTGCACAGATTCCTTCTCTTCTATATCCCTGGCTGGATTTTTGTTTGTTTGTTCTCCCATTAAAATAAAACTCGGCTCCTTAGTATGGCATTCAAGTCGTGCAGAGGCACTGCTGTGAGCACCCGCTACTGTGTCATACTGAATGGCTACCAAATCTAGAACACCTCAGGCTTCCCTATGCCTCTCTACCCTGCCTGTGGTGAACAAGAGCCTTTCCTTTTCTGGGTTAGCCAAAAGGTTCATGCTCATGTCTATCACTGCCCACAACACAGGACACACTGTAATTGACCCAGTTGTCCAACCTAGAACAGCAATCTCTTTGAAGACCAAAACTGGAACTTCTTGATCCATTGTTTAATCGGGAAATGCACCATCTAACACAATAAATACACTCAATAACTGAACAAAACCAATGTAAAAATAAGCATGAATACAATTTTACTAATAACTAATACCAACTGTTTAACACAAAATACAGTTTCATTCTATCCTGTTCTTTCCTGATTAGAACTGCACACAAGACTCATTCTGTGCCAAGGAAGCCTCATACTTGTTTTCATGTTCTTGAATCATGTACTTGCTTCTATAAGAAATTTGGCCAAAGACCCTCTTAATTCAGTTCTTGATTGCAACCTTTTAAATCTCCTGACAGTATACTCCACATAGAAACTTTTCTCAAGAGCTTATATCCATTTCCGTCCCCCTGCCACACCTCCACACATACACACAAGTGTGTGTGTGCCTCCATCCCCTCCTAAGGGCCTGTGAGTTTCCTGTGTACTTGTATTTGCTATACTGGTGCATTCTGCATAGGCCCACATACATTTCAGACAGATCATTCCAAAGATTGCAGACTACCCCAACCCCCCATCATTGATGGAAACATGGCATTCAGATGATGGTGTGTTTGATAGGCTGCACCATGCCCCAGACTAAGAGGTTGACTTTATAGAGCACAGTGACTCAGACCACACAAGTCAGCCGGAGTTGAGCAGAGCTCGGAAAGTTGAAGATTGAGGGCTGTACAGATGGAACTGGGTGTAAGCACCAGATTGAAGGGCACTGACAAGAGGAGCTGTTTGATTTAATGACGATTTCCTTCTTTTCAATTCTATTTTCTTCGCTCTGAAGTCCTTTTATTTACAGCTCCTCTGCAGGAATGGTTATTGATCTACAAGCTATTAGCATGTGATCATTATGAGCTGTACTAAGGGACAGTACTAGCCTTGGGCTGGGGCAAAGTGCTACCTGAACACAGAATTTATCATTCACAACAGAACTTCTGGAAAAGTAGAAGAGAAAAAAGAACACAAGTGGATATTGCCACATGTGATTCAAGCCGCAAGCAGGCAGAGAAACTCAAGAAACTCAATACTATGAATTGTGCTGTTTTCTTAAACAGGTGTACCTTTAGCAGATTTGTTAAGAAGAGGAGTTGAATTCTTTTTTTTTTTTTTTCTTCTGAGACCTAAGGTCTCAGACAAGCTTTGACTGCATGCTGAAATCTGTGGGTTTGCAAGTTATTTCTGAGACAGAATCACTTCAGGTGCACAAAGCTTGACATCCTATCAAAACCCCTTTCCAGGAATGTTTTCCCAGGAAGAACCCCAGACACTATGCTACACACCTGTTAGTCCCTCTGTGAGGGGAGATGGGGATTTAACAATGCTACAGGCAAGGCATGAGTCTCTGCTTCAGTGCAGTGATGGATGGATCATATAAACGTCTGCAATAGCTTCTCTTTCTGTACTTTCTTTCTATTACAGTAGTGTTGTCTCCTGCACACCACTGAGATTTTAATGACTGGACCCTGGTCCCGACCGGTCATTATGACTGGTCATCAGTGTCACCTCCTGCCACACAACCATAGATTTCTATTAGTGGGTGATCCCATCTTAGAGAAATGAATGAAAGCCTAAATAAATGTCTGTTTTTGAACAGGTTTGGAAAATCCAACATGATTTTTCACTTTAGAAGGTGCTTTCTTTCCTTATCCTTCTTTTCCTCTCTCTCTCTCTCTCTCTCTCTCTCTCTCTCTCTCTCTCTCTCTCTCTCTCTCTCTCTCTCTGTCTCTCAAGAGGCAGCAGAATCCTGTCTAAGTGTCTCAGACTGTAGTGCTTGATCAAGGAACAGACATGAACCTTCAGTAGAAAAGAAAAAGTCTAGCAAAAGAAGAAAGCATGAGTAGTACTAACCCCTTTAGGTCCCCTGCTCCACCCAAACTTGAGTGGAGACTCCCTTTAGAATCACTTCCCCAAGCCCTGTTCCCAGGACAGGACCCCGGGTTCCCTGGGGGCTGTTCATAGTCTGAAGCAGAAGTGGAGTTTGAACTTACTGTGCTGGCCCTTGCGTTTCAGCTGAGATGAAGAAGCCAGGAGGTGCCCAAAGCAGGTCCGATTCTGTGTGGGACAGCGTGAGCAGATGAGCAGGAAGCAGAGCACAGAGCTGGAGCTGGAGCTGTTCAACGCTGTTGCTGTCTGGCTTATCTCTGTAACTCTAAGGCCACTGGATCGGAGACCCTGCTCTGCTTGGTGTAGAGCCCAGGGAATGAGGGAGTGGGGGAGGGAGGAGAGTCGGATATGGAAGTGCTGGCGAACCCAAGCCTGGAAGAAAGATCACAGGTACCAGGATTGCGGAGAGATGGCCTCGCTGGGGAGTGAGCCAGATAAGTTCCCGTAGCCAGAGGTGCAGAGAGAGTATATGCCACCCGGGTAGTCCCGTGCATCTGCACCTTAAGCAGCGCAGCGTCCCATCGCACGTGGCCACCACTCCCAGCTGCCGCTGCTACCCGCTCTCTACTTAGAGTTCATCAAATCTGCAAAGGAAAGTCGGAGGCAGGAGCGATTCCTCGCTGCTGCGGGGAGAGTGCTGTGGTCCCCTGCTACGTGAGGAAGGGCCAGACGTCAGGAGCTTGTGGAAGTCAAACTAGAGAAAGGCTCAGCATTTCAAGGCCCCCCGGGGGAATCCAACTCTGAGCAACTAGTTTCCTGGTGGAGAGGAGAGAAGGTGGAAAGCCAGCCCTTAGCAGGAGCTGGATCCCAAGGACAAACAGCCAGCATTCCTGGCCAGAGCGCGGGGCGCAGGAGCGGGCTGTTGTGGGAAGGTAAAAAAGCACAGAACCTAGTGGTCAGGATGCAGCTTCCCCAGGAGGTGCTGATGGATCTGATTCAGATCACAAACTCCAGGTGTCCCTGAGGTTGACCTCCAAAAGCTGTCTTTCAGAAGGAAGCTGAGGAGGGCAGTGGGTCTTCAGTACAGCGGCCTTTCTTAGTTGATTTCAAAAGTCTTTACCCTTGGATCCAACACTGCCCAAAGATGCTAAAGGAGCAAGGAGTACAAGTTTCCTCTGGTTTGGACCCTACCCAAATTCCCTGTCTGCCATCCTTGCACAATTCGTTAGATTAAAAAAAAAAAAAAAAAAAAAAATCCGAAATGAAGATGATCATACTGGTTCTTGGAATTTCTCTCAATTGTGCAAAAAGATAATTTGGTTAAGATTAGATTTCTCTATCTAAAATAAAAAGTTATACTTGACTGTTTTTAAAAGATAATAAATACTCCCCCACACATTAATTACTCCTCTCACTTGGGAAGGGTTTTCCGTCCAGTGACCCATGAAAATCACACACCCTAGTCATACTTCATTTATAAGACATGTAATCTGATATCAATCTTCAGTTCATGTGATATCACGCTAGAGAAGTTCTCTATAAAACAGTGCTCTTCGGGCTTTTCAATTGCCAGTACATAAAAGTAAATAGGCCCGGAAATAGGCATGATGTTTTACAAGCTCCTCTTAAGGTCCTTTTGTAAGTATTTTTAATGTAGGGAAATACCTCTTGCTCTCACATCAGCTTTAAGTGAACAGATTTCATGTTTTTTGTTTTTGTTTTTGTTTTCTTGTGGGTTTGTTTTTCTTTTGTTTGTGGATCCCATGCTCCATAAATGCTGTGAGTACTCTGCTGTTGAACTTCAGCTTCACACTTTCTCTGTGTTTTTGTTTTTGTTTGTTTGTGTTTTGTCAATTTGTTTGTTTGCTTGCTTTATTTGAGGATAGTGTCTTATTGAGTTTCCCAGACTGGCCCACCCTTCTCTCTATATCCCAGGCCAGCCTTGAACCTGCTTAGCCTCGTATGGAATTGGGTTGCTTGTGGCGCCATCGGAGCCAGCTTTTCATACATTTGATTATTGGGAGGGTGCAGATTGTACTTCATGTGTCTAACAAGTTAAACTTCAAAAGAGAAGCACAGGTTTAGACAATAACCACAGAAGCAAGTATCCAAGAAAGCTGGTGAACAGTGCTACTGAAGGTAATTGTTTCTTAGGCCTTTAACCCATTTCTCTGGCAGTGATTGCAGAACATACTCTTCTCTCTTATATTATTGGCTTTCAAAAGCTTCGAAGCAAGTGACTGTGTATGAATACTGAGCTCACTTCTTTACAGCCATGCTGATATCTTAAAAGATTAATATGGTTCCATACACTCTGATCAGCAACTCCAATGATCACAAAAGACCTCCATGACTCATGCCTTTTAGGAACATTTAGAATTGGAACTGATTCACTGCACAGAGTAACAGATTATCAACATTATCATGTCAACTCATGACACTGCCCATTCAGATCCTAAGTAAAGTCCTTTAAGGCATAGATATTACAAAACATTAGGAACACTGAGCCACTCTGATCAAAAGCCACACACCTGAGAAATTGGTGAACTAGTGATTATTATTCGAAATGGAAACAGGACCAAGTTATCAGATCTAATTTCTCTTTTGTTGGGTAGTTTAGTTCTTTGGACAAATACATAACTTTCCAGAAGAGGTGTTGACTCTTTTCAAATAGGGAGAAGATAAAAACCCAAACGCTTACATACCTAAGGCCTATAGCATGTGTTTCTCATGGTCAGATTGTGGAAGACAGCAGAAATTGGTAAGAATTTACACACCACAAGAAACACAAAGCACACACAAGAGCTGAAGTCAGAGTCCTGTTCTTATGTTCCAACAAGGTACCCTGCAAAATTCTATACTCAATAGGGCCAGATTTCATTTTTTAAAAGTAACAAAATTAATATTCTTAAAAAATCTTAGATCAGTGAGATGGCTCAGAGTTATGCAAGTGTCACCAAGTGTGACAACCTGAATTAGAGTGCTAGGTTCCCTCCTAGTGGAAGGAGATAATCCGTTCCTACACATAGTCATCTGAAGTCAACCCCTACACACACACACACACACACACATATACACACACACATACACACACACATACACACACACACACACAGCTAGTTTTTCTCACCAACCAGCTCTCAAATAAATGACAAAGAGACGTCTTGTTAATTATTAAAGCTCAAAAAATAGCTTAGGCTTGTTTCTAACTAGCTCTTATAACTTAATTAGTCCATTTTTATTCATCTACATATTGCCACATGACTTGTGACTTTTACTTCTTTTCTTGCGTTTCTGTTTCCTCTGTATCAGATTACAACTCTGTCTGTCTTCTTCCCAGTATTATCTCTGCCCCCAAAATCCTGTCTAGCTATTGGCCATTTAGCTTTTTTATTAAACCAATCCAAGTGACATTTCTTCACAGTGTACAAAAAAGATTATTTCACAACATGCACATATACCTACACACATATACCTACACACACCACAGAGACAGACATATACCTACACACACACACACCCTACACATATTTGTGTAAATGTAATAAAACATCTTTTGAAATGAAATGGTGCAAACCAGATTCTTAAAGGTCAAAATTCCAGGTGAGCATACCAAAGTAAATAAGACAATATGCAGACAGACAGATAGAAGTAGAATTAAAAAAAAAAGGGACAAAAGGACAGAGAGGACAGGGCAGTTCCCAGTACCCATGGGGGATCTTCTTGGAGACGTCTGAAACCATGGCAAAGCTTAATTTTAAAAAGTTTGACAGAGAAGATATTCATAACAATAATTAGTAATGAAATAGAACAATTATAACAATAGAATGTAATGAAAGTTTTACGAATATGTCTCACTTGAGTATTATACTGTAGTTAACTTGTCCTTTTCCTTGTGGTGAGGAGTTATCATCTCTCTTGTGCTTATCTGAATCACATCACTATTCCACTTTGGGGCCATGACTACACAATGAAGGGTGCTTGCCCACAGGAATGTCAGCAGTAACACAGTCACCTCCATCACAGAGGCGGCTACCAATGAAACAGACTGGTAGCAGATGTATTATGGCTCCACTAGACATAAAAATGACTCATACCTTGGGAAGGATAGATAAAGACAGCACAATATTTCATCATATTACTCAAATGGCATGCAGTTTAAACTTAAGAACTGTAAGGAGTACGGTTTTTCCACCCACCGCCTGGTCTTGTCCTGCCGCCGCGCCAACCTCAATTAACACACAGAGACTCTGTATTTGATGTTATGCTGTTGGCCAGGTGCTAGTTTCTTATCGGCTAGCTCTGTCTTAATTATTAACCCATTTCTATGTATTTCCACGTGCTCTTACGAAGAGTGGAGGAATGGCAGTTCTGTTCTCTCCAGGCTCTCCATCTTGACTCCTCCTTACTCCATCCTATTTCCTCCTTGTCTCTCCTATTTTCCTTTCCTATTGGCCAGCGGTGCTTTATTATTAACCAGTATGAGAAACATATATAGAATGACATCTCCCATCAAAGAACTGTTTGTTTCTGGATCATTCTGTGTAGTGGGTAGAAAACTGAAACTGTAAAATGTGAAAGGGAGGACTAGCTAAAGAGATATTTGCAGTCTAGATCATGAACCTCCAGTCTTATAGACTCTGGCATTATTTGTTATTTGATATATCTCCCCAAATATTTAAAACAAGTCTCCACCAAACTTTCCCCTGACCCACTGACAACTTGCCCCACTGACTACTTCTCAGTATATACAGATATAAAAGCCAAAGAGTCACAGATTGACTGCCATATGTGCTAGCTTTCCATTGCTACAGCTCATGCTGGAGAAAATTAGCCATGGATGGGCCTATGTATTTAGGCTCATGGTTTTGTTCCTTTGCCTTAGATGGGGCAGCAAGTTAGCATAGAACATGTTCAGGATCAAAGCTTTTGATCAGTACTCCTTACAGCAAGAAAGAGGAATCAAAAAGGAAGAGGAGAAAGGGACAAAGAGAGAGACCGGGGTGGGGGTGGGAGAGAGAAGGTAAGGATGAACAGCAGTTGCTGAGTCCTCCTAGTCCCTTCAGGACATGCCACATGTCCAGACTTGCCTGCATCTCAGTTTCTTTCTCTTCCCACTAATGCAAGCTGAAGGACATCCCTTCAACATAAGGTCCACTTGGAGGACCAAATAAGTCATTAAATTTTTATTTCTGGTTG